ACTAGGGGTTTTTCATCACTGAAACAACGCGCAGGGATAGCATTAGGTCTTTTTCAAAGGGCATTTGTCTTCTACGTTTTCAAGGACAGCAGCAACGTTACATAAACATAGGCAAACTCAAGTATTATCACATATTAGGAACAGTTTTATCGCAATTGGGATAACGTAGAGATGTTGCCGAGAAAGATACATGAGTTCCTCTTTGATATTGATATCTACTGAAGCTTGCAATATTGAAACATTCATAATTCGTTCCATAAATATCCAATCTCATGTGTGATAATCAAAGGCCATCAAAACAATAACAGCATTCAATATACAATACATATCCCTACGCCAACACAAATAAAAGGCATTGGGCGTTAATCTAGTTCTGATTAGAATACAGTGTTATTAATAGAAGATTAGCTTATGTAAAACGTATGATTTCATTTGATCATGAGACACGTACAGTCTATACTCAGAACACAATATTGCTTAATCAGGTAAAAACATGCCACTTGATGCTGTCAGTACTATAAAATATTGTACTCACCAGGTTTGTAGATAGTGGGCGTGTTGCTTCTATGATCTGAAGTAAACGTATTCAAAGCAATGACAAGAAATTGCCAAGGATGCCAAAACAATGAAATTAAATCTATTTCAAATTTAGTTCACAAATGACTCAGGTATACCAAGATATTTAATCGGTTGATAATAATCTATACCAGTAAGAAAATAAATAGAAATGGTACCAATAGCTCATGTGTTTCATGTACATTACTGTAAGCCGTTTTAAAAACGACGCAATATGGTTTACATTAAGTTATAGCAAGCCATTTTAGTTTCAAAAGTAAGTCCCTTAGCATCACTGACTATTTCCTAGAAGAACAAAAGGACGAAACAGCTTTATGATACAGTACAATTTATTGCCTGGTCTAATGTATCAAAATTTTATCAATATGTACTATCATTGTTTTTAGCAATCTTAGTTAAGGTTTCCGACTCAAGGTACACATGTGTTACCTTATGTGCTTCAATGTCAATAACCAGCGTTTGTGAATCAGTATTCGACTATCCTGTCTATTGCAGTGTGTCGATACTTATTACTTCGATTTATACTGATAGTTCCTAAAAATATATTCAAGAATGATAATCAGATATATTTAATTGATGATTTCAAAGTATGATAGCAAATACGCCATTACTTAGTCTTTCTAGAATCGATAGTCAGTACTTCATATCCCCCATTTTCTCCGACATGATAAATCTACCAAAGGATATGCAATAAAGCAATTTTCACTTCCACAACTCTCAAAAATAAAACACGTTTGCTGTTATCACAAGTTTTCCCTCCAATCTCTTCGCTGATATGGATATTGACATGCAACTTAATTGGCCCTTTTCGTGACATGTCCATCCGTCAGTATCACTTGACGACACGTGACGTGCACGATAGCACATTGCATCAAAATTGCATGATGCTTCCCCGTATTCCTGGCTCATAAATCCTCGCACTCCTTTTGGAAATTATGCAATATATTGCTTGTATCTTATAATTAAACATACGAAGTAAATCAATATAATATCAGTATATAAATGAGATATAAAGATTCTTGGGGTATTGTTAAAAATAAAAATAACATTTACATGGAGTATCTTTACTATCCTATAAAATAGAGGTGACAGTGTGCAGACTCTACAGGGTATAATTATTGAGAATATAATGATGCAATGACGCCGTATCAGTATTTACATGGAATACGGGGGTAATTTAGTCATAGCGAGTGTCTGATCGATCGATGGGCATTGTGGGTAATGAATAACATTAGTTTTAGGCTTAATAGATAACCTAGGACATCCCACTTACATATCATCAATGGAAGCCGAAATACCAGCTAATCGTACTCCAATTTTATAATATCGCAAAGTACCAGTAAAGGTTGAAAATACGGACCTTTCTCGTTTATAATGGATTATTAAGTTGAACTAGAATTCATATTATCATCATTCGATTAATAGCTCGTCAAGTTGTTTAACCGTGACAGTATCCTAGCACCTTACTGTCATTCTAAGAACTATCAAATCGATGATACATCGTACAGTCCTAATGTTGCTTACTTATAATACATGGATTTTGAAAAACTTTACTAGTCTTGAACATACTCCCCTAAAAAATATTCCTATACACTTGTATAAGAACATTTGATTTTTCTGTCACTACACTAAAATCTACCATTTCCCATTCCAAACAAAAAGAATACTTTCCTTTTTCGGTTACGAGCTATTTTTTCAGAGAAAGATGAACAACGACACGAAGACCTACATGTAAACTATTATGGGATGTATTTTGTGAAAAATACACCGATTACGAGTTCCATGGTAAGATCTTGGTATAACCTTGGTGACACCCACCACCTCGTTCAATACCTTCGATCTGCTCTGATCAACAGTATGGCATGTGTTAGATCTGTTTTACAGATCTCACCTTTGTTCTCTGATGAAAAATGTAGGTACGTCAGATCTTGTAGATCTCACTTTGATCTCGATGAACAATGCAGGATATGTCTGTTTAGTTTAAGCATGTTTTTCTAATTAAAAAAATGGACACGTTATAACAACTTCGAACGTCATTTTCCATCAACAATTAAACGGTGGAATCATTTAAAATTATTAACAATGTAAGTATGTTCCATTTTACCTCCCATCTCAGAGTCATGTTAGATATTGTAATGGATACATAGAACCCATGAGAACCTTCCATATCACGTCCCTATGAGAGTTTCACCCGTCTTAATCTCATTATTTGGCAGTGATTGGAAACAGGATAGCCTCTGGGCAAAGATGTTACGAAGAGAAAACTTCGATTCCTTTAAATCCATTGATGGCAACTTCAATTAATTTAAATGTATTGATTAATTTGTACATTTAGCAAACCACATCTCACTGATGTAGGCCCGACCTCGGGTTGAAGTTGACATAAAGTAGGTTGCAATACATCAGTACCTTAGAGAAGAGGGGGAGACAAATTCCGAAATACACGTACCTGCAATTAATACAAGAGTAACAGAGTGCAACGTTTAGAAAAAAAACCCGTTAAATCCCAACTCAAGACCCCCATGTGTTCTATTATCGACATCAAGTATGATACTTATGAATAATATATCTACTACATGTCTTGTATAGTGATGGATTGTTATCCACAGAAGTATGTTATTTATCAGCTTGTGTAATTATCCCGAGGTTTAGAGCTGGCACTTTACGGAGGACCCTCCTACAGGACAGGGAGATGCCAAAAGAGGTTTACTTGATGAAATTTATCATGTTATTGGGAAAATCGAAGTTAACTTATCACATCATGTTTTTTCTGGTGTTAAAAGTGTGAGCAATATCCAGGTATTAAAGAAACACAGGTGATCATATGGTGAAATATCTTCATCCGATGTCACCGAGTCTGTGGAGATTTCCTTAATTATAAAGTATCATGGTTATGCTGGAAGCAATACTGGCGCATCTCATAAAGCTTAGCAATGTCTGCATGTCAGCGTCAATTTCATGACTATTCACTTTAGTCGGTCTTAATTTCAGGTAAACTCTGGACTGAAGACTACATGCCCTGTGGTCTACTGTCCATTCAGGTAAACTGTGGGCTGATGACTACATGCCCTGTGGTCTACTGTCCATTCAGGTAAACTGTGGGCTGAAGATTACATGCCCTGCAGGCTGCTGTCCATTTAGGTAAACCCTGGACTGAAGATTACATGCCCTGCAGGCTGCTGTCCATTAAGGTTATCTCTGGACTGATGACTACATTCCCTGTGGTCTGCTGTCCATTCAGGTTAGCTCTGGGCTGATGACTACATGCCCTGTAGTCTGCTGTCCATTCAGGTTAACTCTGAGCTGATGACTACATGCCCTGTAGTCTGCTGTCCATTCAGGTTAACTCTGAGCTGATGACTACATTCCCTGTGGTCTGCTGTCCATTCAGGTTAGCTCTGGGCTGATGACTACATGCCCTGTAGTCTGCTGTCCATTCAGGTTAACTCTGAGCTGATGACTACATTCCCTGTAGTCTGCTGTCCGTTCAGGTTAACTCTGGGCTGATGACTACATGCCCTGTGGTCTGACGGGGGATGGTTATTGTTTAAAGTTCTTACAATCTTAATATTAAAACGATACTTGTAGTTTTTATGCTTCCTGCTGAAAATACATAAGAGTTTAAGAATTGAGGAATAGGAATTGTTAAAACTAAAAATTTAGAACGAAGTCTGTAAGTAATAAACTTAGTGAGTTGCCTTTTTTACGCCAAATAGTTTTAAAGTAACTGGAACAGTTTCACCGACAAACCTTAAAACATTAACAATGTTTACAGTACCACCACAATCTTGGACGTAACGAGTACCATGCTGTACGTTGCAGAGCGTGTATATGAAAACCAATGATTACTAAATACCAAAATAATATAGAAAGACACAAATTTGCACTTTCATTTTTTGTAATTATTAATTAAGATATTGTCAATGAAAAAAGGAAAAAAATAAGATTTTCTAATTATCTTACCAAACATGATTTCCTAACAATGATGTGTGGACGTAGGCACCTTGTTTACAATATAGCCTAACGTCTACCACACTGCTCCAGAAATATTCATCAGGTCTCTCACATTTAAGGTTCTAGATCACGGATATTCCGTGATACCAGAGCACCTCATTAAAGTGAATAATTACAGCATGGTACACATATCTAATTTGTATGAATGACTCTCAAAAACATTCATGTTTGTTACGGAACCGTCCGCCTATTCCACTTTCCTTTCCCGGCTTCTACAGAGTTCAACAACAGAGTACCTACTAAGTATCATGTAATTTTATATCTAAATTGCGCATCATGTTAATGTATTATCGATCGATACAATACCAATCCAAATTGTTGCAAAAATCTAAAATAAAACTGATTGTACTGTAATCATCTGGTCGTGAGTTTTAACAGATAAGTTCAATAAAAATCTAAGCATCGTTAAAATGTTACTTAGGTTTAGTCCTTTACAGTTTACCATCTCTAAGATCGCCATTAAGTCTGTTCATGTATGTATATCCTATATAATAATAATAACAGTTCACTTGTGTCATTTTATCAGCAGATATCAAAACTTAGTAGATAATTAATACTGCCACTTATATACTAATTCATAAAGAATGTTAATTTTATCATTTTTTTATGGTTTCTGTTTTCAGTGTGATCCCGGCGTGGGGACCGATGCCTTTTATGACCTGATATATAGACGTCCCAGAATATTGATGGTAATTGGCAGCGCCTGCTCGGAGGTTACTGAAACCCTCGCCGAAATTGTGCCTTACTGGAACCTAATTCTTGTAAGTTATTCGCATAAAGGCGCTAAACATATTTAAAATAATTATCTATTCATGTCACCTCATCCGCACTCAGAATTGTTCATACATCTTACTTAATAGTCTTTGTACAATGTATATGATCCATCAATTAAGTACGGCAATCCGCAATATCTTCGTCAATATTAACAATCCGCGAAATCTTAGTCAATAAAGCAATCCGCGATATCTTAGTCAATAAAACAATCCGCGATATCTTAGTCGATAAAAAAAATCCGCGATATCTTAGTCAATATTAACAATCCGCGATATCTTAGTGAATAAAACAATCCGCGATATCTTAGTCAATATAACAATCCGCGATATCTTAGTGAATAAAATAATCCGCGATATCTTAGTCAATATAACAATCCGCGATATCTTAGTCAATATAACAATCCGCGATATCTTAGTCAATAAAACAATCCGCGATATCTTAGTCAATATAACAATCCGCGATATCTTAGTGAATAAAATAATCCGCGATATCTTAGTCAATATAACAATCCGCGATATCTTAGTGAATAAAATAATCCGCGATATCTTAGTCAATATAACAATCCGCGATATCTTAGTGAATAAAATAATCCGCGATATCTTAGTGAATAAAATAATCCGCGATATCTTAGTCAATAAAACAATCCGCGATATCTTAGTCAATAAAACAATCCGCGATATCTTAGTCAATAAAGTAATCCGCGATATCTTAGTCAATAAAACAATCCGCGATATCTTAGTCAATAAAACAATCCGCGATAGCTTAGTCAATAAAACAATCCGCGATATCTTAGTCAAAAAAATAATCCGCCGTATCTTAGTCAATAAAGTAATCCGCGATATCTTAGTCAATAAAGTAATCCGCGATATCTTAGTCAATAAAGTAATCCGCGATGTCTTAGTCAATAAAACAATCCGCGATATCTTAGTCAATAAAGTAATCCGCGATATCTTAGTCAATAAAACAATCCGCGATATCTTAGTCAATAAAGTAATCCGCGATATCTTAGTCAATAAAGTAATCCGCGATATCTTAGTCAATAAAACAATCCACGATATCTTAGTCAATAAAGCAATCCGCGATATCTTAGTCAATAAAGTAATCCGCGATATCTTAGTCAATAAAACAATCCACGATATCTTAGTCAATAAAGCAATCCGCGATATCTTAGTCAATAAAGTAATCCGCGATATCTTAGTCAATAAAACAATCCGCGATATCTTAGTCAATAAAGCAATCCGCGATATCTTAGTCAATAAAACAATCCGCGATATCTTAGTCAATATTAACAATCCGCGATATCTTAGTCGATAAAAAAAATCCGCGATATCTTAGTCAATTAAACAATCTGCGATATCTTAGTCAATAAAACAATCCGCGATATTTTAGTCAATAAAAACAATCCGCGATATCTTAGTCAATAAAGCAATCCGCGATATCTTAGTCAATAAAACAATCCTAGAACTACGGTTCTATCTCTACTCGAATGGTAATATATCAGATTAATGAAACGTCAGGTAACAATTCTAGATATCTATATATACCCACTCGTATGGTAAAACATTGGACTATATAACATCAGATAACACTCCAAGACCTATGGTTCTATGCTTATTTGGAAGGATTTTGTTCCTATGGGTGCTGAGTTACGGACTGTCTTTTTTGTTGTCTTGATTACAATATGCATGTTTTCGGTGAGAAACTGCACCCCAGTTGCTCTTTATCAGATGCGGCAGGTCTTCTGCACGATGTTCCGTAAGGTAGACACAAAAAAGTCATGGCTGCTCAATGTTCAGTGAATCCAGCAAACAAGTATGTTCGGGTTAGAAATCAGTTTTATTTATTTTACGAAGCCTCAATTATGGAGTCCCTGTAGTTGAAAGTGTTGCGACGTTTTCCGCCTTTTTTTCTATCACACATTTGAGAAGAAAAGACTTATTGATCTGCCCACAATTGCCTATTTCATTGTTAAAGTGTGACCCTAGCGCTTTGGTCTTATTCTAGATATGTTGAGAGGAAATCAAACGCCAAACTAAAGAAAATGAAAACCTTATAAATAGAAAGCTTAAAATCTGTGGTACATTGCATTTGTAATGATGTTTATATTTAGTCATGGGGCATGTGTAGAATTCACATAATCCAAACAATTACACATCGGAGAAAGGAAATGGCTTTTCTTTTCTGGCACCCCTACTTACATTGCACATCATGTTCACTCCTTTAAACACGCGAGAAATAAACATACATTGTGTATTTGGATTAGTGTTGAGTAATAGATGTTAAAAACAGGATAGAATTAAACATGTCTATTGATTCTGGCAGAACACAGCCATTCACTAATACTTTCCGTGAAAGAACATCACACAACAACAGTTCGTTTTTTTTTATTAGATAAAAGACATCTCTCTACATTCGCGTGTCCCGTATTAAAGGTTTGTGAGAAGTAAGATTTATTTATACTTCTGTACATTTTGCGGGCTTTAAATGAATTCTATTTCCCGGTGATTCAGTTAAACAAACATGGAATAAATTTTCAAAGAATTGTGAGGTATCTGATGTAGAAATAAATACATTTGAAAGTTAATTAAGTGAAAGTAAGCGTGTTTGGTACACGGTGTACATTTCTTACTGTAAAGGATAACAGTTAGTGAGAAATTTATATCGGAAAAGGGTCATTGGAAGTGGGACTTATATGGTAGAGTAGGGTCACTGGTAGTGGGACTTATATGGTAGAGTAGGGTCATTGGTAGTGGGACTTATATGTTAGAGCAGGGTCACTTGTAGTGGGACTTATATGGTAGAGCAGGGTCACTGGTAGTGGGACTTATATGGTAGAGCAGGGTCACTGGTAGTGGGACTTATATGGTATAGCAGGGTCACTGGTAGTGGGACTTATATGGTAGAGTAGGGTCACTGGTAGTGGGACTTATATGGTATAGCAGGGTCACTGGTAGTGGGACTTACCTGGTATAGCAGGGTCACTGGTAGTGGGACGTATATGGTATAGCAGGGTCACTGGTAGTGGCACTTCTATGGTAGAGCAGGGTCACTGGTAGTGGGACTTATATGGTAGAGCAGGGTCACTGGTAGTGGGACTTATATGGTAGAGCGGGGTCACTGGTAGTGGGACTTATATAACAGAACATAATAGAGCATGGTCATCAGAGCTTAATAAGATCAGGAAGGATTTTGGTGAAGGAGCAAAACTGGTGCTGTCTTGACCGACATTATTGGGTTACAATACAATTAATGTATAATAATGTAATTATACCGTTATGCATGAACACACTATAACATGGCCATTAACTGTCCCTGATAGACTACAGAATCGTGACCAAGAGTATGGCGTATTCCCCGCTATATTTCCGAGCAGAAATACACCACGTGACGTAATTCTCCATCCAAATACGATTTGCATACCGGTTTGATCAAAACGTAATGTGATCCGTCTATCTCAAACATTGTTGTTAATTAGAAACGTATTAAAAATAGAATATTTGCATCAAATATTTGAAATGGAATTGAAGAACGTATTCGACGCACTGCTATAAAAATGTATTCAAACAAAAACACATGATCCAGATTTAAATATGGGATTTAGATAAAATTTAAAATCAATTTTTCTATATCAAGCTACATTCTGCTATTAGATAATTCTTGATTTCACAGCGATATGACCACTTAACACGGCATGATGTTCTGGGATGATTATGTGTGCCTCGTAAACACGTTCGCACTCGTCTATCTTGAAGTGTTTATTTGCTGTAATGAAATACCGAGAACATTCCTTATCTGTTCTCAGCACATCCTAAATACCTTCTCAGCCGTCCATCACGTCTACATAATTTAATATCATTTACTGCAATAATAATCTAAATAATTAAATCGATACACTCTCCTTAATACGAAGGAAATTTGAAATATTGCTTGTACTGTACCAAGTTGACAATTATCATTTAGATGATTTGACAAATTGCGTCAGCATCCAAAGCTATTTTAGGGAACGGAACATTGGATTTATTATCTTTACCTAAAGCAACTATTTAGTAATGCTATTACTCTGATCATCCAATCGTTTCCGTTAGCATAACATCGGTTTTGGCCATCAGGGCAACTGTATTTGCCTGTGGCGTCCTTCATGTTTTGGTTTTATGGTAGATTTTGCTCGGTAACTTAAAGGTGTATTACCTTTAGTTTATTCGTAAGTCTGAATGATGATTAATTTACAAGTATTGCTGATAGCTATAGGGACCGACAACTTTTCGTTCGATTTATCGAAATTTGTGTCTTTAGAAAACAAGTCATTCAGTACTAAATACCGTTGTTAACAAACAGGGAGATGTCAGTTTATGAGAAGCCAGAATACTGTGGAAAAACACCAAGCGACCAAGCTAATATCCGTTATTTCATAAAGAATAAACTTCTTTTACTTTTATTTTCACTCTTGATGACGCGAGTGGAAGCCGTGAGGGGTCTTACTGTTATAGGAAACCTGAATACCGGCAAAAATCCTGTCTTCCCTTTAAAGAATCGTTTTAGTTTATCAAAGGCATTTCAAAAGCGACACGATAATACCGGAAATTTAACAAATTATGAACAAAGGAAAGACTGATCAGGAGGATAGAAAAACTACATGGAGAATAAGACCTGTTGTTCTGAATTTACTCACCATGTAAATTAAGGTTTGTCACAGAACTTATGCATAGGCTTTGATATTACTATCAGTAACAGATAAATGGATCAAAAACAAATTCTAGCAACTTATGAACTCCTCTCCATGAGTAAATTACAAATAATTGATATACTGCACGTGACGCATATTTATATTATAAACATGGAAATATACTGAAAGGATAAAGAAACGCAGGGTAATATTTATTCCGATATTTTGAAAACGCGTTCTCCAAATAAAGTGAAACTTTGTGAATTGAATAATTAGGTCATATTACACCTTGTCATGTATCAAAAATTTAGTCACGGTACAGTG